CCATCTGACGTGGCATTCAATTGTCTGGAGATGCTGGCCATGCTTCGAGTTCTCCCAGACCTAAAAGATCACCATGTGTTGGTGCGCACCGACAGCACAGCGGTATTCTCTTACATCAACCACCAGGGAGTTCTGCGTTCGCGCCCCTTGTACAAGCTGGCGCACCAGATACTTGTGTGGTCCCAGGGCAAACTCTTCTCGCTGAGAGCAGTTCACATTCCTGGGCATCTCAATATGGGAGCAGACATCCTCTCGAGGCAGGGGCTGAGGCCCGGGGAATGGATGCTTCACCCCGAGGTGGTGAAGCAGATATGGAGAGTGTTTGGCCAGGCTCAGGTGGACCTGTTGCGACTCATATGATATCACACTGTCCCCTCTGGTTCTCTCTGACTCATCCAGCTCCACTGGGGCTGGATGCCATGGTACAGACGTGGCCGAGGCTTCGTCTGTACACCTTTCCTCCGATTTTCTGCTCCCGGGAGTTCTGGAGAGAGTGCGCCGGGATGGGGCCTGTCTATTGTTAGTATCCCCGTTCTGGCCTGGCCGAGTTGGGTCTCAGGCCTGATTTCTCTCTTCGACGGTGCTCTATGGGAGATTCCCATCAGGAGAGATCTCCTCTCACAGGCGGAGGGCACGCCCCCACCCGGAGCTGTGGGTGTGGCCTCTGAGGAGGCACAACTCATAACTTCCGGTCTCTCAACCGAAGTTGTTGAGACTATCCTCCATCCAGAGCTCCCTCTATGAGGAAACTGTATTTCTGCGGAGACCGCCAGCCCGACCCAGCTAACTGCCCGTTTGGTACAGTGCTGGAGTTTCTGCAGGCCTGTTTATCTGCAGGGTTGACCCACTCCACCCTAGAGGGCTTCGTGGCGGCCATTGCGGCCTACCACGCCCCTCTCGGTGGCCATTCAGTGGGAAGACATCCTCTTCTTACACGTTTCCTCTGCGGTGCACTGAGGCCGAGGTCTCCGGCCAGAGAAGCTTATGCTAAGTGGTGGATCAGGATGCTATTCCATAGCCTCGAGTCCTCTGATCTCCCCTCTCCTTTGGGGGTCAAGATTCACTCCTCCAGAAGTTGGTCTTCGGGATGGTGAGCCCCGCCTACTTTAGCCACTCCGGGCTCTTCTGTTCTCTCGCCCTAGCTGTGCAGTCTTCCACACTAGGCAGAGATTTGGAAGTCTGGCGGCGTGGGCATTCTTGTTCCCCTAGCGTTTTTGATGAAGCTCGAGTTCCTGAAGAGGAACGTCTCAGGTTACGTATGTAACCCTAGTTCCTAGAGGGAACGGGACGCTGCGTCTTGGTGCCATACTTCCGGCGTCCCTGCCGGCGCTTGCTTCATTCCTAGAAGCTGACGCTGGCTCTGCTGCACGTGCTTTTATAGCTTCCTGGTCATGACGTCATCCACCGTGATGTCCCGTTCAGCTATTGGACTGATTTGACATGTGATTCAGAGTGTGGGTCGCAGAAGGCGTTCCCCCTAGGGTTTTCGATGCAGCATCTCGCCCTCTCGAGGAACTAGGGTTACATATGTAACCTGAGACGTTTTGTCTGAATGATGATTAGATTCACTCTTTTGGATTGCTGCATTTCATCTGTGAAAGCAGGTACAGAATGATGCCTCGGTGTATGATAGAGCAAACAGTAATAGCACGTGCAGCAGTGACAGCCTCCCCCAGGTTTTAATCTGTAGGGGACACTGTTGGCCTACTTCTAATTGAATTAAAAGTAAAATAGCCTACACAAATAACATTTAGACTGTATTTCTGATTAAATAAAGCAGTAATTGATGTCATAAAATAATGAGTATGTTTTGATTTAAAGGTCAGAAGCTATAGCTTACATGAAAAAAAATCACAAACATGACACTTGTAAATTAAATAATTGTATATATACCGATTTAGTCATTAATGTGTAATATGTTTTATTTTTTAAACAAATCATAAGCTCTAAAAGATTTTCAGAATTTTTGCAACTCTTTTGCTTTAGACCATCTACAAATGTTAAATCTTAAAATAAAATGTTATGGTTAAGACTGCATCTTTCTGAGGAAAAAAATACAGCGATTGATATATAGTTTATTTATAGTTATTTTCAAAGCTTCAATGTACTGTCAAAAAACCTTCATTATTGTCTATTTAATTCTAACAAATAAGTTCTTGTTAAAAACTAACCAAAATTAAAAATATTTTGCTTATAATTTCTGCACAGGAGAGACTTGGTGTTGTTTCCAAACAAAAGGAAATATATCGGTATCGTTATCGGTATCGGCCAAGATGAGTTGAAAGATATCGGCATATCAGATATCAGCAAAAATCCAATATCGTGCATCCCTAATTTTCTCCATATCTACATAGAGTAAAGTCATCAAAACTATCAAAAAAAGGATATGGGGATTCTGTGGTGATAAAATTTTTTTTATTCCAAAACCTCTTATATTAGTTCACATCATACTGGTTCCCTTGACGGAAACCCAGTAGGATTTTTCAATTGCCTTCTGGATTATTGCAGAAAATAAGCTCTGTGACCAACAAAAGTTTATGATTCTTACACGTTTTGTTCATCATGGTAATCCTCACTAATGCATTTTGAAGCCTGAATAGAATCGCCAGAGGTGAACAGCTAATAGTAAAGCTATAAACAAACTAAACCACAGTCACATGACTTAAACATCACCACCGTTAATCTATCAGTCTTCAAACTTTTCCCTTTAAGTTAGAATTAGAATAGTTTCAAGAGCGCGATTATAAACACAATGAGGCTGTGAAAGTGAGGAGTAGATTACCTGTTCGTGGTGATGATGGTTATTGTCATGACAACCTCTGTAGTCCCATTTAGACACTTAGCAACCAACAAGTAACTGTTTTTAAAAACCACAAGGGTGCATTACTGATAATTGTCAAATAAGAAATGAAAATATCTTGAGCCTGTGTTAAACACAGACCTTATTTCAGGCATATAAACAAAAACCCATTCAACAAACCGATGGACGATGGAACCAGAAGTGTTGAAGTGCAACTCGTTTCTGGGTTTTGACCTACAAAAATACATCATCCCTGCAGCACTCTACTGTAAAGGTATATTGTGATATAATTTTCACAAATGCGTTTAATATCACTGCTGCTTCCACAGCAGGTTTGTTTTCACATGCATCCACCGCATGTGTGTCTTTTTCATGTATAACACCATTTTTAAAAGAAAAACCTGACAGCTATCGTGTGAATGTCTCTGCACAGAACAAATCATTTCAGAAGCATCTGTTTTTCTGTCCTATTGGATTTAGTTCATAAAAATCATTCAAGATTTCACACTAAAAGACATGTGAAGCACGAGCTGAAGGAGGACGTTTGTAATTACGCTAAAAGACCTTGATAATAAAAAAGTCTAACCCATCAATCAGATGACAGAAAGCATGTAATAGATGTAGGTTTTCCAGCAAAGTTTTGATCATGTTGATAATGTAAAGGGTTTTAGAAATTCGAAAGTAGCAGGCATTATAGGGTTAATATTGTAATCAGTTTAACTGGTGCAATCTGATCTCTATCAGTTCGGTGAACTCTGAGCTTTGTTCAGATTGGATATTTAGGAGATGGTGTGATTTTTAAACATTCGTTTAGTGAATTGATGTCTTTTGAGGAGTTAAATAAGGAAGAAATGCAAGTGACAATAAGGCTCTGTGCCATAACCCAGTGAACTGCTATTGATACTTCTCAATAATGAGTGAATTATAGCTACTGAAAAGTTCAGTATTTCAATGTTCTATGTAATTAAAAATATGTCTATTTTAGCCAATGTTTGTGTGTTTTGTGTATTTTTATGTTTATTGCAGTAGAGTATTTCCCTTCATCTGTCATCATCTATGTGCACATTCACATTAGCATCTTCTCTCTGGAAAATGTGAGGCATCCTACAAAGATGTTTGAGGAAGATTTTTTTTCATTGTGTTGTCTTTTCATTGTCTTGATCCTCTATTATTGTGAACAGATTGTTGTTGTTGTCTGATCATGACTGCAAACTGTGCCTGTTGTGATTATTGATTTGTCTTCTTAAAATTTACTTTTTTTTTTTTTTGCATCTTATATGCTAAGTTGGTGGGAAAATCAGACAAACATCCAAGGTAGTCAGTTAGGAACAGCTGTAACAGTGCTGTTATATGTCATCCTGATGACTGCATACAAAAAATACCAAAATGATATTTACATGAAAGAAATAATGACACTTGTAATACTTTTATTTAACAAAGCATGCGTTAAATTGATTAAAAGTGACAGTAAAGACATTTATAATGTTACAAAAGATTTCTGTTTCCTGAAAAATATACATATCACAGTTAACACAAAAATATGAAGCAGCATTTGTTTTCAACATTGATCATAATCAGCATATTATGATTTCTGAAGATCATGTGACACTGAAGACTGGAGGAATGATGCTGAAAATACAGCTTTGATCACAGAAATAAATTACAGTTTAATACATATTCCCATAGAAAACAGCTATTTTAAATGTTAATAATATTTCACAATATTACTGTTTTTTTTATTGTATTTTGAATCAAATAAATTCCTTGGTCAGCAAAAATAACCTTACCAGTGTTTGATTTCTAGTGTGTGTTGTTGGTGGTTTTAGCTTTGCATCAGGGGTCACTAGGTTTTGGAAAAGAGCTAGTGTTCCTGTTTCTGGAGTTGAGAGTTACAAAATCACATCGTCCCCTGTGTAGACGGCTCTTACACTGCACCGGTGTCACCCTGTCCTGTTCATCGCTCAGATCCTGAACGAGAGTCTCCACCCCTTCTCTCTCATGATGGAGAAGTTTCTGGTTCTAAGCGCGAGTCCCCCGTGTCTCATTAGGAGCTCCACGCCACTGAATCTAAAGGCCAAGCCTGCAGGCAAAGTCTGCGGTGAATCCAGCTTTGTTATGCAGCGGTTTGAGGGGTTTCTCTTTAACAGACATCATAATGAAACAAACCTACAGTGTAAGCGGGGTGAAGTTAAACACGTCCTGGTCGGGTCGCAGAAGCACCATAGTGAGAACTTTCCACTTCCTTACTTCAGCAAATAAAAAATGAATGAGCTTGCAGAAATTTTTGTTTCTGGCACTTCAACTTTTTGATGACCTGTGTTGTAAAATGCCTTTCAGGCGTCTGCGGTGCATCCAGAAAAACAGCTAACAAACAAAATGAAAAAGCTGTCAAGGAAGAAATATCAAATATAGCCTTATTCTTATCATTAGAATTAGGCCTGCAGCAAACTCCTTTGAACGTGTTCATCTCTATGCTTTTAACAGTATGAAGGACAGCGCAGCGAGCAGAAGACAGGCATCACTCATGCTTTATTTTGCACTGAAATGCAACACTGATAAGATAGCAGTACAGTTAATCCTTATAGCTGTTAAGAGTGCACATAAAACAGTTCCTGTCCAGCCTCTTTTTTGTCTTTAATTCCAACTTATTTTCACCTGCAGTCTCTCTGTGTGAAGTGTATTTAAAAACTAAACAAATAAATATTTCATATTTAAATAATATTTTCCACTCAAGAGCACATGAGAGCAGGATTTTAAAATCCTAGCTAAGATCTAAAAGAGTTACTTAAGGTTTAAAAAAGATTCACAATGACACATAACCCAGGATCACATGATCAATAATTGTCAAATTTAGGACCGTCAGTTGATTAAAATCTTTATTTGAAAATTGATTACATTAAAGAATTAAAATCATATTAAATTAATTTCAGGGTCAGTCAGATTTGTTTATAATTTAGTTACAAAAGATGTATATTTCAAATAAATGCTGTTCTTTTGAACTTTCTATTTAGCAAAGAATCCTGAAAAATAAAATACATCACAGTTTCCACAAAAATAGGAAGCAGCACAACAGTTTTCAACTGATAATAATCAGAAATGTTTCTCGAGAAGCAGATCAGCATATTATACTGATTTCTGAAGATCATGTTACTCTGAAGACTGGAGTAATGATGCTGAAAATACAGCTGCGCATCACAGGAATAAATGACATTTGACTATAGATTCACATAGAAAACAGTCATATTGAAATTGTAATAATATTTCACAATATTACTGTTTGTTTTATCCAATAAACGCAGCCTTGGTGAGCAGAACACATTTAAAAAAAAATTGAATTGTAGTTTGTCAGTGTTTTTCAGACAGTCTTTTGAAATAATTTATCATGTTAAATCGACATCCCTAGTAAAAAACCTTCTTCTGCTCTTTATATGCATAAGCAGCTTCCACGTCTTACAAAAATCCCATCTGTATTTCACCCAGACTTCCATGCATCAATGCTTTTCATAAGACAGGAAGCAGTATTTGCTAGTACATCTATTTCAAAAGCGATCATGTTCTCCTTAAAACTCCAGGGGTCAGTAGATTTATACAGCATGCTGTCTTGACCTCCACAGTGGAGCTGGTAATGATAGATGGACAGTAAGGCAGGAGGCGATCTGTTTGCCTCCACACAGCCAAGATAAATAGCCCAATTTAACCAGCCAAACACTCCTGCCACCGGCCTCGTGGCTTTCTGCCCGCTCCAAGACCAAGACATGAGAGTAATAACACCATCATCTCAAACACACAGTATCAATCATCCATTCAAACAACATTGTGCAAAATCACACTTGAACAACACACTTGAAATACTTAAAGAGACATAAACTGTGATTTGTGCAGAAGTGATGATACAAAACTACAAAACTGTTGTTCCCTATTGATACTTAACTCGTACTGCGTCTGTTTAAGACGCTTTGGGGAAAAACTAATTTTTCTCAGATGACTGAAGCCTTTTAATAATGCAGTTAAACTGGACAGCCATTGGTTTGTGCAGTGTATTAAAAACGAACCAATGACTCGGCAGCAGAGCTGCACAAGCCTATGGCGGTAAAGTCCGCCAGAATGGGCGGGGTCATCTGGCTATATAAGCGGCACATCGCCATAGGATCCTCAGATTTCTTCTCCTTCAGTGATGACTAGTTCATCGCTGATCTACGAGACTAAAAGCCTCTCACCGTAGAATCGCCTTCGCAGCGGATCAAGCTGAACCAGTGACACTGACAGCTTCAAATTGGTGTGTGTGTGTGTTTTACCATGAAAGTAGTCTGCCCCTGTTCATTCGCGGAAGGCGGCCCCACCTCCCCGCTCTCATGTTTCTCTCCTCCCAGTTACCTCGGAGGAAGCAACGTCGAGCTCGCGGGTTGAGCGATCAGGATGAGCAATTCATGCTGGCACACATCATGCGTGCTTGATCTGCCAGTGTGTGTTACACATGAGGATATAGTGCCCCTCGTTACACCGAGCGGCTTAATCCTCCTAGGCAGATCAAAGCAGGACGTTTGCACCTTCGCATTTGTGTGTGAGTCGCTGAGCCCCGCCTCCCCCGCTCTTGTGTTTCTCTCCTCCCAGTTACTCGGAGGAAGAATGTGTTGTCTTTTCATTGTCTTGATCCTCTATTATTGTGAACAGATTGTTGTTGTTGTCTGATCATGACTGCAAACTGTGCCTGTTGTGATTATTGATTTGTCTTCTTAAAATTTACTTTTTTTTTTTTTTGCATCTTATATGCTAAGTTGGTGGGAAAATCAGACAAACATCCAAGGTAGTCAGTTAGGAACAGCTGTAACAGTGCTGTTATATGTCATCCTGATGACTGCATACAAAAAATACCAAAATGATATTTACATGAAAGAAATAATGACACTTGTAATACTTTTATTTAACAAAGCATGCGTTAAATTGATTAAAAGTGACAGTAAAGACATTTATAATGTTACAAAAGATTTCTGTTTCCTGAAAAATATACATATCACAGTTAACACAAAAATATGAAGCAGCATTTGTTTTCAACATTGATCATAATCAGCATATTATGATTTCTGAAGATCATGTGACACTGAAGACTGGAGGAATGATGCTGAAAATACAGCTTTGATCACAGAAATAAATTACAGTTTAATACATATTCCCATAGAAAACAGCTATTTTAAATGTTAATAATATTTCACAATATTACTGTTTTTTTTATTGTATTTTGAATCAAATAAATTCCTTGGTCAGCAAAAATAACCTTACCAGTGTTTGATTTCTAGTGTGTGTTGTTGGTGGTTTTAGCTTTGCATCAGGGGTCACTAGGTTTTGGAAAAGAGCTAGTGTTCCTGTTTCTGGAGTTGAGAGTTACAAAATCACATCGTCCCCTGTGTAGACGGCTCTTACACTGCACCGGTGTCACCCTGTCCTGTTCATCGCTCAGATCCTGAACGAGAGTCTCCACCCCTTCTCTCTCATGATGGAGAAGTTTCTGGTTCTAAGCGCGAGTCCCCCGTGTCTCATTAGGAGCTCCACGCCACTGAATCTAAAGGCCAAGCCTGCAGGCAAAGTCTGCGGTGAATCCAGCTTTGTTATGCAGCGGTTTGAGGGGTTTCTCTTTAACAGACATCATAATGAAACAAACCTACAGTGTAAGCGGGGTGAAGTTAAACACGTCCTGGTCGGGTCGCAGAAGCACCATAGTGAGAACTTTCCACTTCCTTACTTCAGCAAATAAAAAATGAATGAGCTTGCAGAAATTTTTGTTTCTGGCACTTCAACTTTTTGATGACCTGTGTTGTAAAATGCCTTTCAGGCGTCTGCGGTGCATCCAGAAAAACAGCTAACAAACAAAATGAAAAAGCTGTCAAGGAAGAAATATCAAATATAGCCTTATTCTTATCATTAGAATTAGGCCTGCAGCAAACTCCTTTGAACGTGTTCATCTCTATGCTTTTAACAGTATGAAGGACAGCGCAGCGAGCAGAAGACAGGCATCACTCATGCTTTATTTTGCACTGAAATGCAACACTGATAAGATAGCAGTACAGTTAATCCTTATAGCTGTTAAGAGTGCACATAAAACAGTTCCTGTCCAGCCTCTTTTTTGTCTTTAATTCCAACTTATTTTCACCTGCAGTCTCTCTGTGTGAAGTGTATTTAAAAACTAAACAAATAAATATTTCATATTTAAATAATATTTTCCACTCAAGAGCACATGAGAGCAGGATTTTAAAATCCTAGCTAAGATCTAAAAGAGTTACTTAAGGTTTAAAAAAGATTCACAATGACACATAACCCAGGATCACATGATCAATAATTGTCAAATTTAGGACCGTCAGTTGATTAAAATCTTTATTTGAAAATTGATTACATTAAAGAATTAAAATCATATTAAATTAATTTCAGGGTCAGTCAGATTTGTTTATAATTTAGTTACAAAAGATGTATATTTCAAATAAATGCTGTTCTTTTGAACTTTCTATTTAGCAAAGAATCCTGAAAAATAAAATACATCACAGTTTCCACAAAAATAGGAAGCAGCACAACAGTTTTCAACTGATAATAATCAGAAATGTTTCTCGAGCAGCAGATCAGCATATTATACTGATTTCTGAAGATCATGTTACTCTGAAGACTGGAGTAATGATGCTGAAAATACAGCTGCGCATCACAGGAATAAATGACATTTGACTATAGATTCACATAGAAAACAGTCATATTGAAATTGTAATAATATTTCACAATATTACTGTTTGTTTTATCCAATAAACGCAGCCTTGGTGAGCAGAACACATTTAAAAAAAATTGAATTGTAGTTTGTCAGTGTTTTTCAGACAGTCTTTTGAAATAATTTATCATGTTAAATCGACATCCCTAGTAAAAAACCTTCTTCTGCTCTTTATATGCATAAGCAGCTTCCACGTCTTACAAAAATCCCATCTGTATTTCACCCAGACTTCCATGCATCAATGCTTTTCATAAGACAGGAAGCAGTATTTGCTAGTACATCTATTTCAAAAGCGATCATGTTCTCCTTAAAACTCCAGGGGTCAGTAGATTTATACAGCATGCTGTCTTGACCTCCACAGTGGAGCTGGTAATGATAGATGGACAGTAAGGCAGGAGGCGATCTGTTTGCCTCCACACAGCCAAGATAAATAGCCCAATTTAACCAGCCAAACACTCCTGCCACCGGCCTCGTGGCTTTCTGCCCGCTCCAAGACCAAGACATGAGAGTAATAACA